CCCCAAAACCCCAAAACCCCAAAACCCCAAAACCCCAACATAATATGGGATGATTGATAAATAATAACTTCCGGAATATGGATAAGGATCAGAGCACAAAACTTAGAAAAGGATCTAAACCTAGGCATTATTTCCCACGAGATTTCTTTGGAGACGATGTTCAGGGTAAACCATCTTTCCTACCAAGATTTTGTGGTATCATATGCTTTACAAACAAGATTCAGCTTGTAGAATAGGAAAATAAATTATTCATGGTCGTTTATATCTCCGAATGAATTTCTTCAAAGTTCTCATGCTTATAAGCCATATAGAAAATCTTCACCTGATGCTTCCAAATTTCAGGAGAAAGAGAAGACAAGTCAAGAGCGTAGACACAGCCAAAGATGTCGTTGTCAAGAATTCTCAGGAGTTTGTCAAGTCCTCGAAGAATATTTCTGAAAGTCTTCACATCAGAAGGGCTAGTCAGAGAGGAAATAAATTTTATCAGAGCCCTGAGTTACTCTCTATCATGCCTGGAAGCTTTATGAGGAGGAACTTCTCTGAGCAGAAGGATGGTCAACATGAGTTCAAGAGATCAGCCAGGAATCTCTACTCTAAACCGCTCTCTTTAATGTCGAGCATGAAAAAAATTTAATGCAGATTTGGAAGATCTTCCCTCTACTTATTCTAAGCCTAAGGCTGCTAAGAATCTTATGAAATGTAGGTCATCATATTTCTAGAAAATTTTGGAGTGGTTTCTAAAATACAAGCTTTCAGACCAATCTGGTCTTTTCATTATGATACTTACACTTGTCTCGATGTTGTAACATATACTGGAGCGAGGCGGTTTTAACAATAGACTTGCTTCTTGCCGTTAGACAGAAAGTGCAATCAATAGCTTTGATATCTTGATTACATTAGTAAAACATGTTTGATAGTAAAAACACTCATTTTGGCTTAATCAAAATTCATGGTGAGCTTCTTCTGTATATAGAAGAGCATATATATTTCTCCATTTTATAGGCAAAAATCATTAAAATAGGCCCTAGCAATTGTTTATTTCATCTCCAGATTTTGCTGAGAATTTTAATTTCCATTTAAGTTAGAAAAAATAAAGATACTACGATTCTTCTTCACTATTTAGCATTTGTCTTGACGGTTAATTAATCTTATCCAACTATATTGCAGAAATTTTCCTAAATTCTCTCAACGGGATTAGGTTACAAATCATACATCATTAACTTTCGATTATATTTGCTAATTTCATCTTATAGTTTACCCAAAAGTGAGCTCTTATTCAGCCATGAAGCCAGATGAAATCAAGAAGAAGTTCTTCTTTAGTAAGAGGAAGAAGTTAGACTTCAATAATCTTCCCCAAAACCTTGAGCTTGGTCCAGGTCTAATAGAGTTTCAAGAGTGTAAAGATCTTCCGCAAATTTTGAAGAAGCCTCATCATAGTAGAAAGATTATCTTACCTAACCTGAATGAAATGGGTAAATGCCAGAAAGTAGCCCTCAAGAACAAATTTGAGCTAGGATCAGTGCCGTCTTCTCCTGGTATTACTCTTTCAGAACAGAAATCATGATCCGTTAAAGCATCAAGCAACATGATGTTTCTCTCAAAGTGAGAAAAAGGTAGGGTTTTCTGGTAATAATTTCTAGGACTATTTAAACCATGGGGGCCATTGTCCAATGCCAAACATTGCACGAAGGAAGAAATGGGGACAACCGCTTATTTTGGAGGAAAATAATATGTAAATTAATTATTGGGTTTAAAAGATTGCTCATTTGCATCCAGATTGTCCTGGCTTTGGAGTCCCTATTTTCTTGCCATTTTTACCTCTCTTATTTTTCCCTTTACCTCCAGTAGTAGCTGCAGGGTTGCCATCTGAAGCATATCCGGATCTATCTTCAATAGCTATATCCATAACATCAACTCCTGGAGCAGTCATAAGCTGCCTACCTTCTCTCCGAGCTGTTTCTTTGATACGAGAAGCTTCTTCACTAGAGATATTGGCACCGAGTGCATCTCTCTGTCTTATATCCCTCTTTTCATTCTCTAGTTCATCTTCTCTTTTCTTGAGTTGCTTCTCTGCCTTCTTACGTTTAGAGTCTAGCTTTTGGTTCCTTTCTTTTTCCTCAGCTAGGTCATCGATCAGCATTTTCCTCTTATCAGCCTCTTCTTCTGCCTTTTTGAGCAGGATCTCCTCTTGTTTGGTAGCTTTTCTAAGTTTGATCTGAATATCCTCGTATTCGTCCTTTTTCATGCCATGCTCTTGCTCAATTTCTTCAAGGTTCTCCTCTAGCATCTTGTTCTTCTCTTGTAGGATACCAATGGCTTGGTTTAACCTATCCTCATTTATCTTTTGCTTCTGGTATTCTGTAGTGAGAACATCCTTTGAGATTTTGGGGATGGCCGAATTCATGAAGTTGATAAACACTTCGGTCTTCCCAGGACCTACTGCTTTCTGCTTATATGACTTGGTAAATGCCTCAACATCATATCCGATGTCTTCTATGTTATCCATTCAATAACCCTTGCTTCTGATGGTGAGGTTAATACTTGAGAACGCATTTCGAGCTATCTCTTCTCATGTTTTCCTAGAGATTGCTAGATTAGCTCTTTGGGATTCTTTTTCATTCTGGTCAATAGCAATAGTAAGTTCCTTTAAAACAATTTTGTTTTCTTCTTGATCAGACTTTTCATCTCCAAGTTTGAATCCTTCTCTCAAGATATCCATTGCTTGAATTCTCATCTTGAAGAGCTTTTTGAGAAGATCTGATTCTTCCATAGGCATCTCAATTTGCTTGGCTAACTGGGAGTAGTATAGTTTAGCTTTAGTAAGGTATTTCTCTCGCTCCTGTTCAACAACATTCTCCCAAGCTGATGTGATATTCGGAACCGCTCCATCATTGATAGCATCAACATACATTTCAAGCAGCTTTGCAAGTACCCTGCCACTAATCCTTTTATTATTCATCTGCTTCAGTGGACACTCTTCAAAGACTTTCTGTTGTAGAAGTTTGGCCTTTGTCTGAAATTTGGGCCTTAAGTCATTAAAATCTACCTTATTAAGATTGGCAAGCTGATGCTCATCATTACTCGGCCTGACCATAGTCATAAGCTCTCTCATCTTAAAAAATTTGACAAGGGCTGTCTTGACCTCTGTGTAATTGTTGATTCTGCTGTCCAGATACTCATTTTCAGTGATCCTGTGCCCATTCTCCTTCATTTCTAAAACGAAGTCTCTAAGAAGCCAGAGGAACTTTGGTGTGAAGTTTGAGATTAACTCATCTTCTGATATTCCTTTCCCAGCTCTGACCGCTATATTTGTAGATAACTTCGCAGCGAGCGATAGATTATTTATAGCGTTTTCATCAATAGCACCGAAACTATTGTAGATGAAGAAGGATGATATCAAGACCACTAATGCAAAGATTTTTCCGTCATGAGTAGAGTTCTTATCGATCGATCCACTTCCTTCTGTGTCTAGTAAGATTACATGCATATTTCGTGACTTTACGAAGGTTGGTGTCCCCCAGATCCAGATTCCTTGAGTACAAGAATCTGTAGATGGACTGACTTTAAATCCTTTGCCTCCTAATTTATCTAATAGCATGTTTAATGCGAATGATTTTCCTGTTCTTTGGGCTCCTGCTAGCGATACTACTCCTATATCACCTTTTATACTTTTGAGAACCTTCATTCCTTCTTCTCAGATCTCAAAAGAGGTGAGATCTTCATTAACTTTAACCAATTGTACTGGGCCATCGACTTCATAAGGTTCTTGAGATTGTTCACTGTTGTCATCAAAGAACTTCTCTTCCTCAGAGTCTTGGTCAGATACCTGACCAATACTAGAGCCTGATCCTGAGCTTTGATCTTCTGAATTGTCACTTTCACTGCTTTCTTCACTGTCTTGTTCTGAATCACTGAGCTTCTTTTTCCTCGGAGAGATATTTTTTTGTATGCTTTTCCTATAATTCTGTTTTTCATGTGAGATCATGACATTATTCAAGGAATTGATGTTGTTGCTCTTAACCTTGATGGAGGGATCTCCCTCCTCGGATCCCAAGACGTCTTCATCACCATACGAGATGTCACCGGAAGACATTTTTAAATTAGTTATTTCAATCAGAGATGGATGCTCTGGGGTTTTGGGGTTTTGGGGTTTTGGGGTTTTGGGGTTTTGGGGTTTTGGGGTTTTGGGG